TGTTTAAAAAAGTAATAACACAATGCTGGCTTGCGTTATGTGAGCAAAGCAACTTGATAATGTATATTTTCACAGTCTCTACCTGGCTTCATTTTATTTATCTACCTAAACGTATTTAATTTTCGTTTAAGCTTTATGTTTATCATGTATGTTTATAATAATTTAAATTTTAAACCAAAACTTTCTTTTGATGTATGTCAAAAATGCATGAACGTAAAATACTATAAATTCTATATGTACCTATTGTTGTGATCAAGTGTGTGCTACGAACTGAAAGGCATTCACTGTTGAATATTATAATATTAATATTAATTTTAACACTTATTCCATTAGTGGATTTGGTATAATCAAACACTATACAAATGAAAAATAATATTATTTAATGGAAATTAGTAATTGTATATAATATCATTATAATAATAAAGTGTGCTCCTATAATTTTTCAATGTTCAGAATGTTGAATTTTCATTAATATAAATACATAATATTCACAAAAATAGTTAATAAATATATTACATATTATCTGTTTGAAACTTAAAGAATAAATTATATTTTAATATTTTACTTAAAAGCAGTAATAATAAATGGATGTACATAGTTTAAGGATAAAATAAAAGTTTAGGTATATTATTATAAATGGTTAATCTAATTTTTAATATGATATTTATTATATAAAGTTTGATATAATAGCATATATTATAATAGATTCTGTTACCCCCACGAATTCATGAAACCAGGCCAAAATTTTAAATGATTAGATAATAGTATTACATAAGTAATAAAGAAAAATACCTACACATCAAAATATATTTTTATAACAAAATGTGATACATTATGTTAACATGTGACACAGTTGAATTTGTATTCTAATTAGATTCACTACGCACATTATTAAAATGAAATATAGTTTTGTAAATTATTATACATTAGAATATAATTATTTATTTATTTATTAGAAAAAAAATGAATCATATTTATTGTAACACAATTCGTGTTTTTTTTAATCCTTGAGGTTGCATAGAATTGAATCAACAAACCAGGGATTATATGATATTAATTGAACATGAAAGGTGAGTGGATGACTGATATGTACTTATTGACTGTTTTTCTTTCATTTTCCTTCATATTTATATAATCAACAGTTAGACTTAATTAGAAAATGACTTTATAATGTTTGCTCAAACAAAACAAAAAAACAATCCATTTTTCATTTCACACTTAACAACATTATTTCTCTATACGTACATTTTTAGACACTGTGTTAACAGTGTCTACAGTTCATCATTAATATATATTGAATATCAACAGCTCGTAGTTTAAAATAGTTCGAATAGCAGTAAAAATAAATTGAGTGTCAAAAAAGAAGTGTGGAATCGAAAATGTTAATAGGTATATAAACTGCAAACATTTATTTATTTTAATTCACTCCTATACTTCATGACCTATCTAAATTTCTGCAATGGTAAATTATTTAATCTAAAGTCTTAGAGACTTAGATTCAGGTAAATTTAAATCACACAGACAGAAACTGTTTAGTAAAAATGGCTGAAAGAAAACGGATTATAAATAGAATACCTAATTTGTATTCATGGGTTACCACTTAGGCACAGTTAATAGTATTAGTCTCTAAAGAAAAGCTTAAAAATAAAATAACAAGATATATTATGTTCATATTTTATTCAATTGCCTATATTCGTTAACATAATTTCGACACACTCAAAGTTAAACTTTGTTGTGATAATATTTTAATTATTCATTATTGTTTACAATATTACTGTTCGTAAATATATTTTCTGTTATTATTTAAAACAAAATTCATATTTTAAAGAAGTTATTTAAATTGTGAGTGCATGTTATATTTATTAATAATATAAATAAACAATTTTATCACAAAATAATATTCTTTTGAATAATAATTTTGATAATATCTGAACTAATATTATACTCCGTATAGAATGTATAAAAATTGCATTTAATTACCTTTTTTTATATTTGAATAAGGGTAAACTATGGTAATTTACCTATATACAACTACTATGGAATATAAAATAATGAACATAAAATATATTAAAATATCCGTTTGATTTTACCAGAAACTGTATATACGTATATCTATATAGGAGTATTTTAATTAAAAACTTTGTGACAAGTTAGTTATAAAAAAAATGATGTCATCAGCGTGGTATATTCTCATTTGGTGGTTAATCGCGAGCAAGTCAGGTTCGATTAAATCGTTACCAAATTCTTTTATACGAGTATGTGTATGCATTTTTTTTTTTGTGTTAGTGGCGGTGATGAGGTGTGGTGTGTGAAAAATAACAATTTCCAAAAACAAAATTATTTCTCAATAATAGTTTTTCGTTCAAGTTTTAATTGAATTTTTTAATTACTTCATTTGTCCACGTTAAGCGATAACAGAATGAGTGGTATAGGGAGACGAGGAGGGTGACGCGTGACGAGTGAACTATACGTCATCATCGACCGTCACCGTAGGGCCGATGGTTGCAGAGGCGACTGCAGCAGATATCGTTTATTTCGGTTTTGCTTGATCATAAAAATAGCCTGAATAAGTGATATAAAAATAAATAATATATTAATATAAGTTGAGTTTGTAAAAAAAATCATATTTCGCTATCCAGGTGGTTATACCGATAAAATAAAAAATATAAAGGTTCTAAAATGTTGAGTTTCATAAGATGTAATTACTGCTACTCCAAACTTAAAATAAATTATTCCCAATAGGTGGTTCGTGGTAGTCCTAGCCATGGACATTTGAACATGAAGCTGACGATACACACGGGAAAGAATTATTTATTCATTATAATATTTGGGCTATTGTAAACTCGACCCCGATTTTTCCAGGTAAAAATCATTGATATGTAATCTCACCTTGAATAAAAAAAAATATAATAGTCTCACGACTTATGTTCTTATACCAAAATGTAAAGGGAAAAAAACTATATACGATAACACGATAAAGTCATTATAAGCATATGTCGACTTATGTACATTTACCCTAATGCCACAGAAATAAGCCCGGATCTTCTCATATATAATTAGTAATTTATAATATTTTTGTGAATTATTAAGCATTATCTAGAGGATACCACGACTCAAGAAAAAACAATTCTCAGTATCCTCCAAACAATTATTTTCATTTTCATTTTTATACTACAAAAAAGTATGAAAATTAATTTTAATAACATAGAATTATATAAATTTAAATGTGTAAGGTTTATTTTTTGAGTAGAAAGCTATAGCACATTTAACGCATTAATTTACTAATGTATCTTTATAATATATTTTTAAATCTCAATGAAAGAAAAAAAGATATTATATTAAATGTAATTTTGATAGGGGTTTCTAACTATTCTTAATTTTTATTTTGGATTTGGGAATATAAATATTTTTTAGACTGTTTATTTTAGTATAGGTTTAGGTTTATATTTATTTCAATTTGACTATGTTGGAATATGTGCTAGGGAAAGTTGAATTAAACGCATTATTTATTATTTTCAGATTATGTTGCATTTTCTCATTTATATAATATTTTAACGATAAAAATAATACGGCCGAGTTTATAACTTGATTCTAATTGGGGGACCTACTGCCATGTCCTTGTAGGTAACTTACAATTTTTTTTTATGTTTAAGCTTGGGGAATGCATCCCAAAAATATTGACAGAAAATTCCAATGTACTTTGGCAGATAAGATTTGTCTCTTTGACTTGGACACAAATTACCTATTCATTTTCAAAAATACCCAGATTACTATTGAGACCCTAAACAAAAATTGAGTTGTTACATTACTTTCGTTACAGATATATGCACTGTTGACCATCAGCCCGAAGAAATATTAATTAGTATAGCTATAAGTTCATATAAACACTATAATTTTACGTTCTAATAAATATTTCAAAATGTCCTAATAAAATCATATACGAAATTAGGTAGGTACTCTATGTATGACCAAAAGGAAAACATTTTATTCATTAATAATGAAATCCAAAAATACAATTTAGTTCCATTGTATTAATTAATAGCATTCAATGAATTGATATTATTAGCGAACAATTTCTCATTAATATTAAATTATAAATACCGGCTAAATTATAATAGTGAGTTACACTCAATAATTGTAATTATTATTAACTTGATTACGTTTTATTAACAATTTTAAATTGGTTTCGTTCCATTTTACTTTTAAGTTTTTATTTAGATTTATGATACTATATTTTATAAAAAAAAAAACAATCCTTCGAGTGCTTAAATTAGCCCGCCTTAACTTTTCATTATTACAATGCTATTGGAAATCATAAAATAAATACCATACCCAATTTACCTCTGGCGAGATAGTAATGTTATTATTTAATGTGATCGAGTTGCGTCCGGTGAGTTTGAGACACAAGTAGCCAGTTGGTAATTACGTGGGGAGATGTGGGTTTATAACACCTCCGGATCTTATAAAATGTATCATTTGTATGTAAAGATGAATCGGGACCTATTATCATGTTAACTTTCATAGGTAAACACATGGTGATGACGATTTTAGAACCTCGATTTTTCTGTTTGAGGTTATAGAGTGAGCTCTGATACGTACATAGTATGATAAACATGATGCATTGATACATATTGTTATAAAATCATTATGTGTATTTTTTTTGTACAAAAATAATTAGGAAGTTAATGTAAATAATCAATGATTAATTAAAATCATTCAAAAATAATGAGCATCGTGGGATATAAATGTCCGATATTCTTTACCCCTCTTGACAGATTCTATGATATAAACATACTGCAGTCGACTCTGCCCCCACACACGTATACTCAAAATGCCCCACACGCAATCAAGCAACTACCACTGCACGTAGTATCGGACCTAACATTAGATTAGACCAATTATTATATATTATTGTGGTCTAAGTTGACGATATTCTTCGTACGTCATATAAATGGGTACAGTGTAAATATTATCATTTATTATAATAAAAGCGTACTTACGCGAGCTAGGTTTTTTTCACACACGGCGGCCGATAACGATGAGGGGGAGGTGGGGGGGGCAGGACACAAATGCTCGACGACGGTCAAAGGCGGAGGAAACGTGCGACAAGTTCGGAATAACTACGCGGTGCGACGACCACCGGACACCACGACGGTGGGCGTTCAGTTCCGACGCGCGGCGCGAGACCCACTACGCGGCGGTGACGACGACTGCGACGACATCCGTGACGACGGCGGCGGCGGCAATGACGGCGAAACGCAACGGCGGCAGGCCCGTCGAACAACCGCCGCGGCGGCCGGTGTGGCGTGGTCGCCCGGGCAACGGCGGCGCGGCGGAGGCGCGAGAGTTTTTTAAAAAAATTTCAAGACCCGTCCGCCGCCGCCGCCCCCGACATGTTCATATCCCGTGCGAAATTTTCCTGCCAACTTACTGTGTGTAACGTGCGAGACAACGAGCCCGAGTATTTTTTTTTTTATTATTATTATTATCAGAAAATTATTTTGCAATCCACACGAAAGACGTGCATGATCGGAAGATTAGACGATGTGGTACGCCACGCTGAATCGAAAAATAAAATGAACGGTGCGCGGTGAGGCGACCTGCGTATTTCAGTACCCGGCCGGGTTCTTTTTTTTATAATATTTACGGTGTTGTATAAATTATCGTATTCTGTAGGATGTCTCTGGTGACTGGTTGCCTTTTGAAGAAATAATAATGCGGATCAAAATTATTGTTCGGTGAAATAATTTGTGTAGGTTTTTGCACTCGAACGAAATTTGATTCTATGAGATTTGGCTGATTCTTTGAGTGTAGGTAGTTTTAGGTTTAGGTGGAGGTTTTTATTTGTTACATACCAGGGGACGGAGCTTATATTTTGACGTAGACATATATGCATTGGAAAGCTTGCGATGTTTTTGTATTGGACGATTTCCAAAAGGTAGCTTCTATACAACCAGGCTAGGTGGATTATTAACTTGTATATTATGTTAAGTTTGTTAGTTATAGAGACAGTTTTGACATGAACAGAGCCACAGAAGACTTAGGAAATGGAATTTAGTATATAGATACGCGTTTTTGTATTTATGTCTGCGCTCCATGTGAGTCGTTTGTCAAATGTTAACCGGAGATATTCGACTTAATTGGCTGATGTTAGGACTTGATTGCTTCAGAGACTGATGGACTTTCACAATTTAGTAAAAATAAAGTAACGTATCACGTATGTGATTCATTAACTTTTATTTTATAATTGGCCATTAGTAAGCTGATACATTGATATTTGAAACAAATTTTGTTTACGAAGTATATAATTATAGGTCCCTTGACTTCAATATTGCTCAAAACTATTATATAGTTTATATAAGTTGAAAACCCTTTGAGGACAGCTCTACTTATACTTCACCTTCCGTGTGAAAAAAACGCATCTCCATAATTGGACGAGTAAAGTTGATTTGATTTAGAAAGACAACTTCGCAGTGGTCTCATTTTGGTATTGGAGACGATTATGTATTTTCTTAATCCTAGCTTTTAGAACAGCACTAATTTTATTGCCACTGTCCAGTTTGACTCCTCCTCATCAGAGTGAGCCGATCAAAACCAACAAAGGGTCACAAGTATATATAATATTTGGTTGATGTCATTTCTAAGAGTGGATCACTACAAAGTAAAGAATATTTTTTTTTCAGTGTGAGAACACTGTAATACAAGTTGTTGATTGGACTTGAAATATTTATTCTCGTTTTTACTTTTTTTTTCAGGAGTTTTTTTTATTTATGCATGTAGGTACAACATATCATAAAAATTTGTTCATAGTACTTATACCTCCATACTATACGACACAATGTAAAAATAAATGGTTTATTGAGATAAAAATATATTCAGTAAGTATAATAATATACGACACGAAAATGAATTAGTTAATCATGAGTGGCTTTATGGACCTATTACATTTTCCACATGTTGGGACTATAAGACACTTACTTCAGATTTATACTTATACATATGGTTTATGTATGTATTTATTTATTGATGATAGTGGGAGAATTTAATATGGCACAGATATGTATAGGTATCTTACCTGGTCATGCAAACACTGGCTCTTCGATTCGTTACAACCCAAAATAAGAGATTTCATATAATATGTGATATGATATATAAGGAAAAATACGTCCGATGTGGATCTAATATGTTATTAGAAATGGATTCTGAAAATTTGGATCGTTGAAATATTGCATGAATTTAGTGTTCGGAGATACGCTATAACAGTGTATTATCGTTAAAGGGTAGTAAATATTTTAGCTAAATGACCTTAGGTGAAATATGGTCTTTTGGAAGGTGAAAAGGTGTACCAAAATACATATTTTAGGAAATTTTTTCGTACACTTTTGATACCAGTGGTTTATTTCTAATTATAAAATCAAAAATGTTCGAGAAAGTTGAAATTAGCTCATTGTGCCTGTTTACAATACTTTTTGTTTCCGTAATTTGTTCTGACTTGATATTACTTGAGAGATAAGATAACAAATAATTACGGTACCTAATGTAAATCACGGCTAAATAGGTATTATTGTCTAGATCGAGACTAGTGAATAGATTTCGAGACGATTCAGAGGGATGACACACGACTCCGTACAATAAAATACTTTTTACTCTACCCGATTCTGCTAATTTTCGTTCAACGTAAGATTTTTGTATTTTACCTGAATATAACACGATTAAACATAAAAATGTCTGCGACGTTGTCAGTTATGAGAAAAAGTGTAGTAATATGATTATTAATATTCAAATTATATTGTAATAAAAATAAAATATGATTGAAGTAATAAAATAAGTTATGTTTAATAATAAATATTATATAAATACAATTATAATAATTGATTCATGTTAATATGATTAATAATATCATAATATATTGATTATTTATTTTTAAATTCTATCGTATTAAAAATGAAAATATATTAGTTTAAATAAATGATAACTAAATAAACCAGAGTATGTATGAGTTGATTCCTTTTTTATCGTAGGTACTAGGTAGATCTATAAAAAATAAGGGAAAATAAGTATTTATGAGTGATAACATTAAATAATTAAATCAAAAAATTTAACTTACTTTAAAATAGTCACAATTGGCTGAATAAAAAACTAAAAAAAAATTGGTAGACTTAATTAGCTAACCTCCCCGTAATAACTCCTGGGTAATGTTACGCTGAAGTTCAAAAATCAACTATAATGATCGAAATTACTGCATGATCAACTTGTGGACCATTAACTTTTAATGTGCTGGGAATCAATTCATATACGTCCCCAATGTGAACTCGGGAATCAATTAATACATGAATTAAAAATTAACTCGCCCACCCCGCAAATTACAAAAACCAACACATTAAAAAGAATTTGTTTATATATTGTAATTTTATAAGTACTAAGTAGCTAGTAGGGCTTATTTACTTATTTTCTGAGTATAATTGTCTTTTAACAATATCGGGAATATATTAAATAATTAATATTCTTAAATGGCAACTTACTCTAGCAGTCTAACAGTAAATTTTATCAATTAGGAAAAAACCATTTGTACAACAAGTAACAACTATTTAAAAAAAAAAGTAGTAAGTAGTCTATCCGAATCTGCAGATAAATTGGCTTTACTAAAAAAGATGGCGCTGTAAAGGCGTCACGTGAATACTTGCACCAAAAGGTTTGAACAATTTTAATATAGTACTCGTCCCTTTCACCTCTCAAAAATCCTAATTTCAATCCAAAGTCTACCAGCTGAAATATTTAGTGATACTCTTATTAGCGGGTAAACACACTGTATAATATCATATGTGCATGTACAAGTACATCGCACCGACCAGTGTTCTAATAATATTATGCACCACATTGTTTCCGTACATCATATTATCATAATAACCCTGTTTATCACGTGAATAAAAACAAATGTATAATTTACACGTCTCGGCGTCGGTTTTCGCAAACCGTTGTATGAAATACTACGTGACAGCGTGTATAAATAAAATATTTTACGTTTGTTGCCGCTGCCGCATTGGATCTTTTTGAGAAAACGCTCTTATATTAAAATCAGTAAAACGAGAAAACAAATATCATGCTGCACTGCAGCACACCCACGCAATCCCAACCAACGGAAAAAACCTTTTTTTGTTATCGCGTTAACTTGTTTTTATAATTTATAATATTCATAATTTTGGTAGGTATAACCTGTAAACTTTAGATCGTGTGTTTTCTATTTTGAATGTTTGTGATAAAGATTTTAGTACCTATCTAGTTTCTTCTGAGTTTCAGATAATCCAATAATCCAGTGAGCTCCGGTACTATAGCATGATAAGCATGGTACATTGGTACATATAATTATAAATTATAATAAATAACAAGTATGTAAGAAATATTATCAATTTATTTTTAACATAGGTAGGTTTATATGCCTTTTGGGTTGGATACAAGATTTTTTGACTATGACAGATTTTTCATTAAGTTTTGATTGTCGTGGTTATTTATTAATAAAAACACATTTATGATTCATAGAGGAAAAATATCGATTATCGTGTTGTGCTTTTTTTTACTCTTTGTGACAAACAAGATAAACACAAATGGCCTTATAATTATAGCCGGGTCACTGGAACACGTGTAGTACAACTATAATAAATTAGTATAATTGAAGTATACACCGCAGTTCATCCCGATGCCAAAACCTGGCTGGATTTAAGTGATAAATAGACTGTATGATAAACCGTACTAAGCTGTTATCGCACACTCATCGATAACAATATGTATCGGACACTGAGGACCTAATGGATTTTCGTCATCGGTCAACGACGAGTCGTCCAAATGTTGAATGTATCCATTTGTAATTTATGCAGGAGTACACATTTCAATCTCAGGTGGCAATTCATTAAAATAATGATGATGGAATTAAACTTTAAAACACATTTTCTAATTTTTACCACTTTATTTGTTTTGTGAAAGATACACGGATTATTAATAAATATTATCCCTCAAACTATATCACTTTAAAATTATGTAATGTTTATGAAATATAACGCATACGATATAGAGGACATCGCATTCGATAAACGCTCATGAAATCGTTTCTGCCACTATTACTTTATCGTTTACACTTTTAAGACTCTCCATAAATATATTAAATGTGTATAGATCGAAATAAACCAAATTGTCTTATGTGTATTAAATTGCATCCATTTATGAATTAAATGCAT